CATTGTGGTGAACCTCCATTGAGAAAAGTGAAGAATCATGGCCTAATGGTTTCCAAAAATAAGTAAATATAAAATTCATACTATAAAATTCATATTGCATAAACAAGTGGTTTCCAGCAACCACATAAACCATAAAATATTGCAAAAAAAAAAATTTGTTTTGCATAAAAATATCTGTTTGACAGCATCAAGACCATTTTATATTCAGTTGCACCCATGAAACTGAAACCCAAAACTATAAAAAGTCACCACATACCGTAATGGGAAACATCGTATGATCCTGCTTGATTCCCTTTCTCCTCCCTAATGCAACGGACCATCTTTATAATATGATTCCCACTCAAAGAAGATGAGGAAAAAGTTAATCACTTTTGTAGTTTGCCCTGATGAACACTGGACATTGTGCCCTAAGTTGGAGTTCTCACCATTGTTGTCATTAAAATGGAAGTGAAGAGGCAATTCATCACAACCTTTGACTGGCTAAGCAGGAGACGTAGGGTGCAATGTCCACTTTGCCCCTCACGTGAATGGCACATGGAGACGGAGCCGGCAAAAAGCAAACGGCGTCTGTGGTTGGGACCAAAATAAATCAACGTGAATACTTTGGGGACCAATTTAATGCAATTGAAATGTTGGGGACCAAAATAAGATAACGTGAATAGTTTGGGGACCGCCGGTGCAAATAACCCAATAACATCCATCTATTCAACAGTACAATAAATTAAAAACATTAAAATCTAAAACAACTATAACAACAATTACAATAAAACATAAAAAAAAATATGAATATTATTCATCATAATTGTTACACAAATACAATAACAATTATTTTAAATTTAAACTATATAAAACACATTAAAATCATAATTGTTCCAATAGATCACCAATTCACCACATGATCAAAAAACAAGTCCATATTTTCACAATTCAAACATCCACAATAATAATAATGTTATAATATAAATTATACCACACAAATACTCTTATAATTACTAAAAAAAAATATAAAAAATTTAAATATATTTTTTTACGAGTAGGATAGGGTAGGAATGCGAAAATTGATGGGTATTCTGCATTCATTCTCGGAAGACAAAAAACTCTTCTGCATTCCTACCCGATTTTTTAGACTAGCCGTTCAGTAAGGTAGGATAGGATCGAGTAGATAAAAAATTACAGCCAAAAAATATTAGAAATGGGATTTTCCTAACACAAGCTTTTGTGGCGTTGGTATACGTGTAATCTTGGAAGATAATAATAACAAAGATGAGTTGTAAAATCAAACGTTTTCGTCAATCCCTTAGAATCAACTCATAAGAAATTTATCCTCATGAATACCCTTAGTATGAATAACTTGACTTTGATCAATCAAACTAAACAGAGAATTAATCGAAATGTGCATAAACTGATCCAAATATTCTTGATCGATAAACAAAAAAATATATATATTGATACACGTGTGACCGATGAGGTGGTATTACAGTATATTGAATATGTCTCATAACTAGTCTGTTTGATTCAATCTGAATTCAATAAATTTTATTTTCAAAGTTAATATTCAAATTTATTAAAATTGGATATTTGATTCAATCTCAAAAACTTCATTAGTGTTAATTTTAATAAGATGGTGGCAGAATTTCAAATTAATTTCATCAAATAATCACTAAATTACATGATATATTAAGCCCATCTTCAATACTAAATTAGCTTAAAATTTTGAGTGTTTTCCTTTTATTTTCTAATAAAAACGTGTTTACCATAGACTAACATGTTCGTAGAGCTATGATTAGACCTGGATTTAAACAAGTCAAAGTCAAGTTTAATGGATATAATAGTCAGGATTTTCAGTTTTGGTTAATACAAATTCTTTGGGTGCAGCGTAGTGTTGGCTTGGATAGTATGAGACTCTCATGATGAAAAAGATCTCTCTGAGTAGCTTTTGCTCTTCTGCCCATTGGTGTCTTTATGTCCCTGTATTTCAGTCTTTATGTCCCATCTGTTCACTCTCTTAATCTTCAGACCTCTAACTTTGAGCTTGTATGGCTAATAATTACACTCTCAATATATTTTTTCAATTATTTCATACAAGCAATACGTTAGAGATTTGAGTGCAGGAACAAGTCTTTCAGAAGATGTGGGTGGGGTTGTCGACCAGTTGCCTCTCCCAAACCCGCGATATGGAGGATGGCTTGTGCACTAATTATGACAAAGTTTCCCATTGACACCATGCAGTTTCAATATATATTGGGTCTTGGTCAGTTTGAAACTGATTTTTTTAGGTAATAAATTATTGGAAATGGAATCTTAGAGATAAAGTGTATGACAGAGTGAGGCACAGATTAAGTCACTCTCTTAAAATAATTCGCGTCATTTTATAAAAGAACCACCTTTCAATTTTGTCCAGAAACTTATGTAGTAAAAAAGAATATAGTAGATATTTAGATTATATATTTTTATACTGATTTTGTAAATAAATGTATATATATATATATAAAGAGAGAGAGAGAAAAAAAAATATTGGTGTTTATATTCTGTAATCTTATATTTAATCAGATAATAACTATGAAAATTAAATAAATAATAATTGTTGAAAAATTAGCCGTTAGAATATTTGTTATTCAAAAATTGAATTTTTAATATAGGAGTTATGACAAAAAATAATTAAATAAGTCAGGGAGACCCGCTATCCGGGTGTGAACTAGATTAGTCGGTGCGCTTCGTAAAATATTAGAAACCCATTATCTCCTCCGCTTGTCTCACTCCTGCGCACGTGAGAGTCTCAAAGTCTTAATTTAACTCAAAAGCTAGATAACACTAGAATATATATACTCTAATACTTTTAAAAATTTAATCGATGTAATATTGAATTCTCACATAAAAAACACTCTTTTGTTTAAAATACTCTAACAATACTCCTTTTTAGGTAAAAAGTTGTTGTTTTTAAGAAAAGTTTTGCAAAAAAAATCCGAATTAAAAAAATTCACTAAAATCGTTTGGGGTATTCTTTAAAAATTTGAAAAAAATTAAAAAAATCCATTTGTAGTGACTTTCTACCTTTTTGTCAAAATTAAAAAATAACTACATGTATGTAGATATTATGTATAAGTTCCCAAAATATGAATTTCAATTTTTTTCACGCCACTAATAATATTTTATGAACATAATAAACTAAAAATTGATGTGGGACTCGTGACAAAATTCCAAAAAATCAAAAAAAAAAAAAACTCATAAAATCAACTTCTTGAATTAACTTAAATAAGTCTTTTTCGGTATAAAAAAATGTTGTATAAGCTGTTAAAAAAGTCAAAGTCAAATGAACATGATTTATTTTACGCAAAATTCTTAAAAACTATTTATTTAAGCTAGCTCAAACGAGTCTATTGTCTTATTTGGTAAATAGGTTGATTTTGCCTACAAACATGTTTAGCCTTATTGGATGCTTGGCCTTGCTCATCTAAAGTTAACAAGGAGTGACATATTTTGCATCTTTAAACTATGGTCCGGAATCATTTTAGTCCGTTTATTAAATGTTTATATTGTTCCATCAACCATTTAATTGGTTTCACATTACAATAAAATTATTTGAACAAAAATAATGTCCACATGTCATAAGATTCAAAGACGAACTGATACAATTTTTCATCTAATTTGTAATGAACATGTATAGTTGGGATAACGTGAAGGGAATAATCACGGTTAGAGATGCGATGTATGCAACGGAATAGTAGTTGATGGGATAATGTGAGCATGGGACATAGGTGAGGGAGTAAAAGCATAATTTGACTCCTTTTGGGTTCTAAGTTGCTTATTATTCATTACAAAGAGAGTTAGATTAGCTAGTGAGGTTGAGCATTGCAAAGCCTCTCATTGGGACAAACATCTTCTCAATGCAAAGGTGGACATCCCCAGAATTCATTCTGAATAGGACCAGTAGCTAGTCCTACTTCTTGAGCAGCTGAGACATTAAACCAGTAATATTTGACTGAATTCCTTGCCAATTTTTTAGGAGAACTTTCTCTCGAGTATATTTTGATGTTACCAGCATTTGAAGCAATTAGATCCATCTTGTAAAACCTTCTTCACCCTTGTTCTAAAAATAGAGCCCCACGACGCTAGCGCCGTGAACTTCAAAAACAACGGGCGTTTTGTCGAATTTCTGCATAAGAATGTGGCTCGTTCAATAGCTAATGTGGTTAGACATTAGGATTAAACCAATCCATTGCAGTGAAGTGATTACCTTACAAGAATATTGCCTTTTGGTGTTGTGGGAACATTAAAATCAGGTGAGCTAATGGAATTCCAACTTATCTAACTAAAATTTAGAATTTCCCAAGCAACATCGTATGGGGCTGTGTCCTATGAAAGAACCATTTGTGAATGTGAATTCTAGCCAAGTACAATGGTCTGAAAATGAGGTCTCGTGGTTGATGGAGGGTGGATTGGCCTAGTGTCGTTCAAGTTTGAGTAGGATTGTTCATTATAGATCATGGATTTGGGAGGTTCCATGGTAACTTGGTAAGGGTAGGATGACTAAGAGAAAGTTGAGGATGTGGAGGTGAATTTGGAGACAGAGTATGGTTGTTTGGGACGTCTTTGAGATAGGTGTCGGTTATTCTTGTGAAGAAGTTAACTAAGATGGTAACATTTTGAGAGGTTCAGGTTGCTGGATGGTTGTTGTGGCGGACCAGGTTGCAGGGGCGTGGAAGCACAAGCACAATGTAATGAGAAGAAACCCACCAGTTGACTTTCAAAAACTTTAATCTGTTAACAGCAGTGTGAGGAAGAAGAGAAAGGGGGGTGTGGGGGGAGCGGTGAATGATCTCCTCTAATCAAAGCATTGGTCCAACTACAACATTTAGACAATGAATTAACAATTGCTGTCCAAGCCACTCCAACATAAGTGCAGATTGTCGTAGAAAACTAACTAGATGGAATGATAAGGTGAAAGCAAACATAAGTGGAATTTTTGTTAAGTAAAACATCAAAGACTGATATTAGCTTAAGCATTATGTCTATCTGTCAAGCCAAAAGGACAACAATTGGGATTGGGGAACCCTCCAACCCGAAACATCCCCAGCATCATTAAAAAATAACGTTCTTCCGAAACAACAACAACAAAAAAAAAATTTCTTTTCTTCATAGCATTATCAGCCAAAGGAAAGCGGTCTTGGAGTGCCCTGCCATGGAGGAATGCTTCTTTTACTGGTGCTTTCATTTTTTTTTCCATTGGAAGCAGCGAAGTTGGAGAGTGGAGTCCTTCAGGATGCCATAACTAGCCAACTTTAGACCATCCTCTAGTGGTTTTCCAAGATACACAATAGTCTGGTGGTTAACTGGAATGCCCACTTTATCAAAAATAAGGTTCTTCACATCTCTGATAGTGTCCAGTAGGTTCACATCAAGAGTTGTGGTTCCCCCATTCCATCTCTTAACAAAAATCTGAAATGAGGGAGGTGACATTTTTAAGACAGATTCTTCTTTGATGTCGTAACACCATAAAGATATTGAATCTTCAAGTAGCCTTCCTTCATATATTAGACTCTGACCACTGACAGAGAAACCAACCATGCTTCCAACTATTGCCTTGATATCACAGACAGTGGACCAGACCTTAACTTCTAGTTTCATGATCTTTCCAGTTGGCATTTCTACAGAAAATGACAACACATCTCTAGGATTGAAAACTAAATGAAGGGTTGAATTTTCCTGCATTCTGATAGAGGCCAATGGCATGTAATCTTCAAGTAGCTTACCAGCATAGATGAGGCTGTACTGCTTCTTGCACATCACCCCTTTTGCTTCAATCAGGGATTTTAAGTGTTGAATGGTATCATGTGTCTTTGCTTCGACCTCAATTGTTCTTTGCTTTGACGGTATATTGACAAACAGTTTCAATCCAACCGGATTTTGAGTAACAAGATGGAGAGTTGAGTTTTCCTGAATGCCATAATCAACTAACTTTTGGTCATCCTTGAGCCGTTCGCCAGTGAAAAACAGCTCCTGAAGATTTTCCGATATGCTTTCCTTGTCACACAACAACGCTTTAACATTCCTAATAGTCTCGGATCTCTTAACTTTAATGGCCACAGTTTTGATGATTTTCAAGTACATGTTTATCTGCAACAAAACATTATTAGGAACAAAAGAGCACTATTGAAGAAGATTAATTCAGGACTAATAAGAACAACCCTGATTTGCTATAATGGTGACTAACAGATTAAACTGAGAAACTATATTTTGCTGCAGTTTATATATCTGTAATGGAAAATTATCATCAAATTATCCTAATCCACTCGGACAATGAGCATACATAGCTATGCCTATAAGTCTCAAGTACACTTCTTTGGGGGCAGGGGTGATGAGGTTGAAGAAATCCATGCTCTTGCTGGAAGCTTTATTAGTTTTAATACCTCTTGGGTTCGGAGATCTTGTAATGAGGTAGCCCATAGCTTGGCTAAATACGCTATAAATGTTTCTGATTTTGTTGTATGGAGAGGAGGTTGTCCAGATTTTCTGGTTACTCCCATCCAAGCTGCCAATGGTTATTTTTAATATATGGAAGAATTATCGTTTCGTATCAAAAAAACAAATAAACACCATTGTTCATAGTTGTTGTTATGAGATTTAACATCATCTTCACACACTAACACCTACACAAGTTGGGTGGCAGCCAAGAGAGAGAGAGAGAGAGAGCAATTATATAAAATCAACTGAAGAAGTTCTGCAATTATTTAACATCAACTGAGTCCAAAACAATAACCCAAGTGATGATGGACAATAAAGATGGAAATTTTGTTTGATCTCTTTGCTATGTCTTGTTCTCTCATGAACCAAACGCAAATAAAATGCAAAAATGACTTGATAAACGAAGATTAAACAAAGATGGGGTGATATAAAAAGGTAGTTTACATATAATGGAAAGCTAAAAGGAATAACAGTAGTAATAGTAGTAGCAGTAGTAGAGAGAGAGAGAGAGAGACCTCTACTTCTTCAGTTGGGTTGCTTATGTTGCTGCTGTTTGATGACATTTCTCGACCCGGACGAGCTTCCATGGCCAACTATGAAACCCCAAAGCGATTTCAAAAGACTTTTAATCTGCTTGATCATACCAGAGCTCCACACATATTGAACTTTCCCAAAGAGCCAAACACTACGCTTTATCCAAGTATGCTTAACACCAAAGGAATCTCCGCCCATTCCTAAATTTAGACTCAAATTTAAATTTAAATAAAAAAATTTAAAAAATTTGCTAAAATCCTTAACTCAACACATATATTAAATTAAAAAAAATTCATTTTTTTACTCAAATAAAAACAGACTCAAATCTTTAATTATGAAATTTTAATATTTTTTAAAAATTCAATAGTCATTCTTACTCCCATTTAAATTTGAATTTACTCTTATTTAAATTTGGATATTTCTTTCTTTAAATTTGAGTTTATCCATTAGAATCTTTTACATTAAATCAAGTTTTTTACTCAAATATTAATTTAAATTTAAGTCATGGTGAGCATCTCTAACTCTAAATTTGAGAAAAAAGTTTATTTGGTATATAGAGTATTTTAATAGATAAACACAAATATCTACTCAAATGTTTTTTTAAAAAATTTTATTGTCCTAAAACTCATTTTTTTGTGGCATCCAAATCATAATATTTGATAGAAACTTTCATATATCTCTCCACAAATGGGTAATTCAAAAAAAAAAAAAAAGAATATGTATACAACACTACCAAAACCACCATAGAATTCTAAAATTGTTTTAATTTTTTATAATTTTTTTATAAATCTAGATAAAGAAAAAAAAACTATTTTGACATGGGTTTAATCTGAAGAACACAAAAACAAACGTTTTTAACAAAAATTGAAGATTGAAGAAATAAAATGACGAATTTCTAAATTCGTGAATAGTGAAGGTTTATAATTTCATGAAAAATCAATGACCTAAAATTGTACTATAGATAATGTTTAACTCGAAAAAATCAAAGAAAAATTTGTGAAAGCTTCAGCGGTGATCGGCGATGAAAGCAGCGTAATAGAGAGAGAGAGAGAGACAAGAAGAGGTAGAGAACAAGTCGTCAAAGAAATCTTTAGATAAGTTATAAAGTTAACAATAAAAATTTTGTATAGAATTTGAGTTTACTTCAATTTGGGTTCAGAATAAGTTTTGTCTTGATTTGGTATAGATTTGAATTCAAGGTTGGAGAAATTTTTTGAGCTATTTTGACTCAAATTTAAATTTGAGTCAAGATTGGAGATACTCTAAAATGTTCTTATATTTATAACAATTGGATTAACATTAAATTTTAATATTTAATGAAACTTATGGTTAATTTAATGACTATAGTGAATTAGATCTATAAATTATATTAATAAATTATGTCTTAATAACATTATCCTTTATTTTATTTTTTGGCATCGATTTAGGAATTCATTATGCAAAACTTCATCATTCTTAAAATTAAATAGCCAAATTTTAAATTCAAAATATTTAAATTTAGAGTCTATCTCTGTCTCCATTGGACAACAGGGTTATTCAAGGCTGATATTGATATTGACCTTAGCTTTAACTCTATTTTAAAGTCCAAATGACCACATTTTGTGAACTCTCCAGCACAACATCCTTCAAAACGGTAAGAAGGGGAAAAAAAAATGGTACCCAATCCATAAAAATCATATTTATAACAATCGTTGGAAAAAATAAAAAAATGTTATTAATTTAAAATAAATTATATTTTATACCCTTAAAGGCTCAATTCTATGTGATATTTGAATTATCGATTGAAAAATTCAACTTGTTACATTTTAAGTCACAATTCGATTAAGTACTAAAAAAAAGCATACTCAATATACAAGCCTCTCGTTATTGTAGGATTTAGAGAAGGTTAGATGTACGCAATCTTACTTTTATAAACAAAGAGACTGTTTCGCGACTCGAATTCGAAACAATTTTTCTGTTGTGCCAAGGCCCTAATTAAGAATTAAGTTAGATTAAGCAACCTGCAATATATAATTTGTGTTTTTCAAATTGTATGTGCTGAATCATCTACTTTGGATTTTAGCCCTAGATAGATTTTCTCCGACAACTAAGCCTGTCAATTTGGTTGAATTATTCAAATCAGATTTGAAAAATTGATATGAAATTCACTCAATTACTAGCGGCTCATTCCGTGCGATGCGCCGAATTATGATTCTTATCTTTTTTTCTTTTTTTTTTTCACTCTATCAATTGAAAAGTTAGATAAATAAATATAAAAAATATTATGCCCGACTAAAATAATATTTAAAAATTTAGTGACTAATTATGGGAGAGTTGAAGGGTGGCTACAAAAAGAGACATGATAGGAGTTGATTGGAGGGGACCTTAGGTTTTGAATTAAAAAATTCAGAATTCTAAAAAAATAGAAAAAGGGGAGGGAACCCTCATTAATATAGATAGATAGATAGATAGATTCGATTCAAAGAATTTTATTTCAGAGTTTATATTCAATTTTTTTAAAATAAGATATTTGATTCAATCTCAATAACTTAATTAGTGTTAATTTTAACAAATTGTAACCAAATTTTGAATTAATTTCATCAAATAATCACTAAAATACATGATATATTAAGAAATATACTAATATAATATCTGAATTGGACAATAGTCAAATCGAATCCTGATAAACCCCAAAGCCGAATCAATGAAGTATGTTATAATGGGTTTGGGTTTAATTTGAATAATCAATTAAAAGTGAGAGGCATATTTGTTACACTAACAATTCTAGAAACATCTCAGTATCGATATAAAATCAACAAGTTTAGACTTAATTTTAACAAGTTCGAGTGGTAAACAAATCACCAAGTTGGAGCCGCTTAACAAATGGGTTGTTACAAAATTCAGCTACACACGCCATGAACTTTGTTAAACACGACATGAATTCCATTGTATATGACTATTAATGTATCTAGTATTGGTTAAATAAATTTTAATAAGACACAACTTCTATACTACATAAATCCGATACGATATGACTCATTATTTATCCTAATTTTGGTTGAACTTGGAAGCTAGTTACTTGTTCTGGCATTATATTCCTCCAAATCCTCACATCCCTGTTCGCTAATGTAAACACACATGGTATATAAGATCCACCCTATATTACCAGAAAAGTTATTTTCGATACCATGTATTTACGTTTCATCCATTAATATGAGACACGTAGTATTTTATTATATTATTTTCACCATCAACGATTACAAACAAATTAAAACAAAATCAATGATTCACAACAAATTTCAATACGATATCATATTATAGTACAATCCATATAAGATTCATCCTAGTTTGATACACACGTACTTCTAAGGTTGTACCCAACAAAGCCTTCTAATTCCTTCTCCAACTATGCTACAAACCTTCCAAACTTTCCTTCTCCAACAGGGATTGTGCTTTTGCCCATTAATCCTCTATATATTCACCTCATCAAACACATATCTGTCACACACAGTTCTCTCTCTCTCTCTCGATATGGAATTTTTAGGGATGACTAGTGCACTATTACTAAAGAGTGGTTGGCATAGTCTCTCTATAGATATCATGGAGATGATCGTAAAGCGATTAACTTTAACTGATCGCATTCGAATGATTAGTGTTTGCAAGCCCTGGAGAGTGCTTCTTATGAACCAAGAAATCCGAAAACCAGTTGAGATTCCATGGCTAATGCTTCCCCAACGCCAACTTGGTAATCACGTAAGTTTTTATAACATGAATGATGAAAGAGTTTATAACCTGAAATTGCCAGAGTTTGCACATAGAGGGTGGTGTTGTGGATCTTCCAAAGGTTGGTTGGTCATGATCACGGGATCAAAATTCAACCTGAATCTTTTTTTATTAAATCCAATTACTGGAGCCCAACTTCGACTTCCTTCCCTTTTGACTATCCCATCTTTCAAAAAATTTGTGGATCATCAATTACCAAAGTTCCGCACTTTCATTAACATGATTGAAATTTCTTCTGTTAATGCTGAAGAATGTATAGTTGCAATAATATGTAATGACTGCAAGGCATTGGTATTGAGTCGACCAGGGGAGAAAAGATGGAACATCTTCCATGGTGATAATCAAATCTACGAGGACATATCATTTCGTAACAATGTGTTTGATGTCTCAATTTCAGGCGAAGAGAGTCGTGCTGCAATTTGCACAATTAAATTGACAGATTGTGAAGTGATATTGAGATTGATCCCGTTCCTTCACATGGGTTATCTAGATGTGACTGAAATTGCGATCTCCGAGCTTGAGCACTTGAGGGTTTTCGAGAAAATAGCTGCACAAAAATATTTAGTAGAGTCCGACAGTGAATTATTGATTGTTCATCGGATCAAAGATTATTTTGCATTGAAGGATGATTACTGGAATCACCATGAAGATAACCCCAAGCTCTTTAGATACAGCCAGACAAATGGATTTCAAGTATACAAGAACAATCCTAACAAAGGTCATTGTGATAGGTTAAACAATTTAGGTGATCATAGAGTATTGCTTTTGGCAAACAGCAATTCATTATCGTTATCGGGCAAAGAATACAATGAGATCCATGGAAACTGCATGTATATTGCATCGTTGTATTTTCCAACCTTTGACGGGCATGATCCAATTGTGTGTCATGAATCCGGTGCGTTCTACCTAGAAGAAGGAAGGATTCGACGTCCAATTCCGAGTCTTCAGTTTGGAGAAGAGATGTTATGGTTTACACCAAATTTATAGTAGGGGGTATGGAAAATTTCTTACTACTGTCATGTAACCAAGTTGTAGTGTCTGGTTGAGAATTGATGAAACAATGACCATCTTCAATTTATGCTTTTAAGACTTTATAAATGCAAAAGATTTAATGTTTACATGTCCATATTTGAATGCTACCGGCCAGTTCTACGACTTAATCGTGACTAAAGGATTAATTTTTGTACCATATCAAAAATTACGACTTAATCGAGCAAGGTTATGACTGAATCATTTTGTGCAATTTTGGTTTTTTTTTTACTCAATCATATTTTAATGGCACTATTAGCAATGTTCATGGAAATATTACTGTTGTTAGGTAGTAACAAGAAAGAGAGAATTTTGTTTAATTTCCTTCCATATAATGAAACTAATTTTTTTTTATCCAACGGTCAGGAATGTCCGGGATAACTTACGCGCACCTCGACTAATTTCTTCGTCAGACAGATCAAAGCAGGTTAATAATGAAACTCATTGGAAAATAGAAGGAAAAATAGATCATATTTAGTTGAAAATATAAAATACCAATATTTTCTACGCAAGAACAACATTGATTCATAACCAAAAGATTTTTTTTTTTTTTTATGATATTGAATAATGAATATATATTTGTCTCTCTCCACTTGTTGTAAAATACCCATCTCTATAAAAATTCTATTTTTTTTCTTTTTCTCAATTAGTTGTTCGACCTGCAATAAATAACGACGTTGGATATTTTCTTTTTCTTTTTCTTTTCTTTTTTTTCTCGTCTTGAATAGCTGTAATTTTTTGCTATTCTGATGAGAAAATTGAAAAGTTAGAGCGGTCCACACTGGTTAGATAAAGTAACGCGTTAGGGATTAAGGGTGGTGTTGTATTTGGACCGTGGCGAATTTGTGTTGAGTATTAACCAATCATATTTCGATTCATTAAAAAAATTGTGTCAAATATTTCGGCATCAACCAAACTTATTTAGTAATCATATCACGTATTTCCCATAAACCAAAATTCAATTGATTTTACGGTAGGAAAAACAAGTTAAAAAATCATATAAATTTATAAGGACTCATACAGTGCCTAATCATCAAATCAAGAAAAAAAATTAGGGAAAAAAATTGATAGTTTCATCGTATAGTGCCACTAAAATGTGTAAATCGCATCAAAATTAGGTTATTGATGTTTGACACAAATCTGACTCATTTACTATAAACTTCATTATAGAATGGAACAATCGGAAAATGTAATTTAGCAAAAAAAAAAAAATGCCGGAATATAGGGAGAATTACATTTTACACCCAAAAAAATTTAATAATTTTAAATTAAAACTTTCAAGATTAGATTTTTCACATTTCATCTTTAATGTGTTAAAAGTAATGCAATGTTGTGATGTCGTTAGCTTCTATTACTCATTCCATCAAAAATCAGCACATTTACGTTGGATAGAATAAGCAATGGAAGCTAATGATAAGGTTATATTACAATACTTTTAATACAATGAGAGTAGAATATAAAAAATCTAATCTCTCAAGGGTACAAATTGAGAAATCCTAATTTGTTGGGTTAAAAAAAAAAAATCCTATACTTTGAGTTATTTGCACGAAATCTTCTCAAAGTTTTAATTGTTGTACTAAGCTCCTCTCAACTCACAAAAATACAGTGCAAAAATGAATGAACAGTACTAATTTAATGGGGCGTGTGAATCACGTGCTACCGAGCCCACCTAGCTGAAACTCCATCACTTCTTCTTTTGGCCCTCTTTTCGAGTCTCTCTTAAATTCTTGCATATGTATGGATCATATTCAGATTTATTTGAAAAATATGTGATTATTTAGTTGTTGTTCAAGAAATTTGAAGGTTTACGGGTTCGTTGTTCAACAAACTTGAATGTTTGAGAAATCAAAATCACACATGGTGCAAAAGGTAGCAAATTAACTTTACTTTAATTTGGAGGGTTTGATTATGGATATTCTTCAATTTTTTCAAATTTTCTTTTCTAATTATGATTCCATAATTTTAGTCGATTTGTATTTTAGGATTGATAAGAAATTTTCCTAACCCCATGAATCACCGTCAATCGGCTTGAGGTAGAAGAATGGTATTGGAATGAAAATTAAACGGCTAAATTAGCATATTTTAATTTTTTTTTTTTTAAATTTTGTGACAGACATTCGCTGTGACATTTTATTTTTAAGTTGACGGGGCTTAGTGCAACCGTTAAAACTACAACAGCGTCATGTACAAATAACTCTAAGTACAGGTTTGTTTTTTTACATTTAACCATAATTTTTGGGTGATACAAAGTGCAATTCGCCTAGGACTATAGGATGGGTCCTAGTTTGATACTTGTAGGACTTCTAATTCCTTCTCCAACTAAGACACAAAAAAATTCTATATTTTTATTTTTTGTTTTAATTTTTTTCTTGGAATCCGAATTTAATTAAAATATTTTGTTTTAAATTTAATCTACGATATTTTAGTTTTCTACTTTGTGTCAACTTAGAATTTCCTAATTATTCTAGATATTTGCTTTTATAAACAGGATTGTAATTAAACAACTTTCAATGGAATACAACTTCGGATTCAGAGTTGTGTGTGTTTGGTCTTCTTTCTCCTACTAAGATTTGATTTTTGCCCATTCATCCTCTATATATTCACATCATCACACGCAGCTCTCTCTCTCGTCGTTATGGAATTTTCAGGGATGACTAGTGCACTATTACTAAATGGTGGCTGGCATAATCTCTCCATATATATAATGGAGATGATCGTAAAGCGAGTAACTTTAACTGATCGCATTCGAATGAGCAGTGTTTGCAAGTACTGGAGAGTGATTCTTATGAATGAAGAAATCAAAAAACCTGTTGAAATTCCATGGCTAATGCTTCCCCAAGGCCAGATTGACAACCAAGTAAGTTTTTATAACTTGAATGATGAAAAAGTTTATAATCTCAAATTCCCAGAGTCTGTTCATGGATGGTTTTGTTGTGGGTCTTCCAAAGGTTGGTTGGTAGTGATGACAGAATCAAAATTCAACCCGAATCTTTGTTTGTTGAATCCAATCTCTGGAGCTCAACTTCGACTTCCTTGCCTTTTAACTATCTCATCTTCCGAAAAATTTGTTCACCCTCTATCGCAAAATCGACGTTTCATTAACAAAATCGAATTATCTTCTGTTGATCTGGGAGAAGAATGTATAGTTGCAATGATCTGTGATAACCACAATGTACTAGCATTCTGTCGAGCAGGTGATGAGAGATGGAACATCTTCCAAAGTAATTATGATGAATTCTATGTTGACATGTTATTTCGTAACAATGTGTTTGATGTCATGGTTTTCAGCGAGAGTGGTGTTAAAAATTGCACCATTAAATTGACAGATTGTGAAGTGATGTTGAGATTGATCACATTCCCTTACTTGGGTTATGTAGATGCAAATCAAGTCGAGATTGTCGAGTTTGATCACTTTAGGCTTTTCAAGAAAATAGCTGTACGACAATATTTGGTAGAGTCCAACAGTGAATTATTGATTGCCCAACAAATCATGGATTGTTTTGCATTGAAGGATGATCACTGGAATCACCATGCAGATAACCCCAACCATTTTAGATATTTTCAGACAAACGGATTTGAAGTATACAAGATCAATCCCAACGATAGCCATTGTGAGAGGTTAAACAATTTAGGCGATCATAGGGCATTGTTTTTGGCAGACAGCGGTTCATTATCGTTTTCGGGGAAAGAATATAATGGGATCCATGGAAACTGCATTTATTTTGCATCATCGTATTTTTCGACCTTTGAAGGGTACGCTCCGATTGTGTGTCGTGAATCTGGTGTGTTCTACCTAGAAGAAGGAAGGATTCGACGTTGTATTCCGAGTCAAAAGATGGGAGAAGAAATGTTATGGTTTACACCAAATTTATAGTAGTGGATATGAAAAGGTTCTTATTCTAGTGTCATGTAACCAAGTTGTTTGTACCTTATGGTTGAGAATTAATGAGACAATGCCCATCTTCAATTTCTGCTGGTAAAACTTAATATTTAATAAATACATGTACATATTTCAATAACACCCGAGTTGAATCATTCTAAAGACAGTATATTATGGTTATTTTTTGATAGTGTATCAAAAGTTACTACTTAATTTCCGATTCAATCATTTTTGTTCGGGTTTTTATTTTTTATTTTTTCTTTTGACTCGAATCATATTGTAATGGCACTACTACTGCTGTTTGGCAGTAGGAAGAAAGATAGAATTTTGTTTAGTTTCCTTCCATAGAATGAAAATCATTGGAAAATAGAAGGAAAAATATATCATGTTCAGTTGAAGTTGGAAGCTAGTTACAGTAATGTAATAGCTTTTTCCACTTTTATATTCCTCCAAAACCAACCACACTGGTTAGATAAAGTATCACGTTTATAAGATTAAGGGTGGTGTCTTGTGTTTGGATGTTTATTGAATTCGTGCCGAGTATTATATAATTTTTTTTTTTTACCCGTTAAATAAATTGTGTCAAATGTCTTGACACTAACCTAACTTTTTCTATTAATCGTGTCACATTCGGGTTGACACGTATTTCCCAAAAACCAAAAATTCAAGACTACTCTGGACTAAACCAATCACTCATTGGCCTCATAAACTAAAAATGAAATCGATTTTTAAGAGGGAAAATCTATGGTATCACAAGTGGTACGGTACCAAAATTTATAACTTTTTAAGATTAAATTACAATTTTTTTAAGGTATAGGCTTACATCTCGTAAAGGCCATGATCGATCATAAAAAATTGCGATCGATGCCGAAAATTATAGCTTTCAAGGTTAAATAACAACATTCAAATATCAAGTTACAAGTCATAAGGGAAAAGTTATAACTGTTCAAGAGAAATCTATGATCGATCATGGTATTTGTGATCGATCATGACTTTCTTTCGACTAATTGTAACTTCTCATTTTAAAGGTATAATTTTATCATAAAAAAATATAACTCTTAGTACAGTATAAACAAAAATTGGCACTGTAGACTTCCCCTTTGACGGTAGCAAAAATAAGTGGCTTTTTTTCTTTCAAAAAAAAATATATATAATTTCATTATACAGTACCACTAAATGTGTCAATCTAATCAAAATTAGGTTATTTGTATTTGACACAAACATGAACCATCTACCATTCAGGTTAGCAATTTGTGTTATCCTTGAATTCGTAATAAGAACTTGTCAATCACTCACTAATTTCATGTCTTGAATTTTGGAGTTGGTCCAGTTCAAAAAAAAAAGGGTGGAATTGGGATTTCCTCTAGGAGCCAACCACTAGCTTTACAAAAAAAATTGGATCCGAATTCAATCAATTGTTAATTTTTTGGGATTTTTGCACTTTGCACCCCAAAAAAATCTTGATTTTTACTTTGCATCCTGAAATATTATTTTTCCCACATTGCACCCTAAATGTTATAAATTGGTTCCAATATGACCCTCGAACTAACATCCGTTTCAGATTCAATTAAAAATTGATGCACATGCCATCCAAGAATATGAATGGTGAATTTATATTTTTATCTAGGAGCCACACACATGGATTGCAAATTCATCAATTTTTAAGCGAATTTGAAATGGATGTTAGTCCAAGAGGCACGTTGGAATTAATTCAGGGTGCAATGTGTAAAAAATAATTTTTCAGAATACAAAGTAAGAATTGAGACATCTTTTGGGGTGTAAAGTGCAAAAAGCCCTAATTTTTTTTGTTGTAAATGTGAATTAGTGGAATTGTCTGGTATTCGAGTTTGTGCAATAAAAATGATATTTTTGAATGGGAAAAGAAATTTGGGGATGAATTTTAAACCATTAAATCAAAGTAAATGAAAATTAGATCAATTTTGATTATTATTTTGTTTTTATAAGTTGATAATTCAATTTTTTAGTTATAATATTTAAATAGATATTTATATAAATTCGCATAGGATTATAGTTTAATCAAATGTTGATAAATCCAATTCTAAATCTGTGAAGTATGATTTAATGCATTTGGGTTCAAATTTGAATAATCAATTAAAAGTGACAAGTGATTTAATTTGGGTAACAACTCTAGACATGATTCACGAGCATACACAATCAATATTGAGTTAGTGAGTTTAGAGTTAATTTTGCTAATTCAAGTAATAAATTAGTAGTCTTGTTGGACATGGACAGATATGAATCCGACTACACATATCATGAATTTTGTTAAACACGATGATGTATGTAGTACACGAACCTAATTGTATAATATGGATCTAACTAAGCTACTAAAAGATTAGATTATTTTTATGATACATATGTAACGGAATCAAAATTCAACACGAATCTTTTTTAACTAAATCCGATTTCTGGAGAACAACTAGTAATTCCTTCCCTTTCAACTACCCCCTCTTTCGAAAACTTTATTGGCAGGCTACAAAAGACCCAAAGTTTCATTGACAGAATTGAACTATCTTCTGTTGATGCTGCACAATGTGTAGTTTCAGTGGTATGTGATGACACCAAGGTATTGGCACTCTGTCAACCAGGGGACGAAAGATGGAACATCTTCCAAGGTGATGAAATCTATGGAGACATGTTATTTCATAACGAGGGCATTCAGTGTCATTATTGCCAGTGACGAGAATCGCGTTGCAATGTGTACCATCAAACTATCAAATTGTAAAGTGACATTGAGATTGATCTCATTCCCCTTTTTAGGTTATCTAACTCCAAATGGAGTCGAGATTGTTGAGTTTGAGCACTTTCGAATTTTCAAGAAAACAGTTGGTCAACAACATTTAGTAGAGTCCAACAATAAATTATTGACTGTTCAATAGATCATGGATTGTTTTACATTGAAGGATGACTATTGGGATCACCATGATGATGACCCCAATGTTTTTAGATATTTTGAAATAAGCGGATTTGAAGTATACAAGATCAATCTTAACAATGGCCAGAGTGGCAGGTTAAATTAAAGAATTTAGAAATCATAGTGTTATTTTTGGCAAGCAGTGGTTCATTATCCTTTTCGGCCAGGGAAAGCGATGGAATCCGTGGAAACTGCATTTATTTTGCATCATCCCATTTTTCAACTTTTGAAGTGCATTTGCCGATTGTGTGTCGTGAGAATCCGGTGTGTTCTACTTAGAAGAAGGAAGAATACGACGTTCTCTTCCAAAAGCAATACTGATTTTGCATGTTAAATGATATTTGGATCAATTAGAAATTGTTCCCATGGTGGTTGTAGTAGTTCCACCCCCTTTGCTCTTAGAAAACAGTTTTCCTCTTCATAACTGTCCACTGCATGCTATTACCATGATCACTTAAATTATACCATGCCCATCTTCAATTTCTTCTTTAAGACTTGGTCTTTTGAATGTGACCAGCCAATTGTACCATTCTAAGAACATCCTTGTCAAGCGAAAGACATTTTTGGTATCGTGGCTTAGTTACGATTCAATCCGACTCATTCATGTTTGTTGGGAGTTGAGCTCGTGCCTTTTTATACCACTTCCACTAGTCATAGAGACTGAAGAGGTTATGGACTTTTGTTGGTACAGAAGGATGACCCATTCTTTAGCTCTAAGCCTCTAACCCATTCTCTTGATAGAATCTCTTGTTCCAGGTAATCCAGAGAATTATTATTGTCTCTAGGCAGTAACAATAATGATACATAAATTAGTTCAATTTCCTTCCATATAAGGAAACTCACTGAAAACCTGAAGGTATAAATAGAACATGCTCAGCTGAAAATACAAAAGACCAATCTTTTCTAAACAAGAACAACATTGATATACAACCAAAGAGAACATCAGAGAGTTGGTAGTACAAAAAATCTGCTAGATGGATGGATAAATGCTCAATCTGAATGTACCAATAGTACATGCGAATATATACTCGAAAGTAAAACACCAAGTATCAATGCTTTAAACTGATTACAATATACAGGTGCACACCACTCAGATGGTATTCAAACATGGTGATTAATGTCTTCGGACAGTAATAAAGGGGGTAGAACTCAAGTGTTGAGCAAGTTTAGGTGAGAATCCATCACTTTGCTGCTTGAAAAGTGAATTTGGAGTGACTGGAAGTTTGTTTTCCAGTGGGCTGAACGGTATATGACTTGGGCATTGGACTCCCTTCACTGGACGCAAGCAGGCCAGGTGGCCACGCAACTGGTTGTTGCAAATGGGAAGTTGGCTTGTCTGCATTGTTGCCTCGTTCTCTCTGGAGACTGGAGTGCCTGATGGATCCTACATACACAAGTCCATATCTTTCCCGTGAGAAAATTATACTCGAGCAAGCACAAAATATAGATAGCCATTACTTTAGCGAAAAAAGATATAGATAGCCAAAAGAAAAGTGATACATATGCAATTACCAAATTGGATCCTGTTCAATACTCGGCCCTTGGACATTATTACTGGTGTTTCTATGGAAGATTTTTCATAGGGAACACAATGTATCTATCTAAAGGTCAGAGACATAGAATCCATTTTGGACATAGGCTTGATGTAAAGACAAAGCATGGCAAAAAGAAGAAACAAAATTTGATACCAGCAAGAATATATATATATAAATATAGAAGTTATTTTCTCTAGTTTTCACCGTAGGCTTTATTTTATTTGCCAAAACCCGGAGTACAGAGGCACAAACCTCTAGGACAAGACACATCCCCACAAACAAAAGAACTAGAAGGGAAAACCCTTCCAAGCAGCCCCAATAGCAAAGCCATCAAAACAATCAACCAAATTTGCGCAAAAAGGTTATCCTTCCTAACACCAGGAAGCAAAGGACACCAATGCAAGAAATCAAACACGTACTCGAACTGCATGACAATTCAGAGAACTACTCCCACCGAAATTCATAAGTTATTTTATCAAAGATTGGTAGTTGGGGAACTTATGAAAACAATCTGTAAAGCATGCCTTAGAATGGCAGATACTCATATCAATTCTAATATCCCTAGTATCAAACAAGAAGTATAGTAAGTTCTCTGAAATGATAGAAAATGAACCATAAGGTATACACATTACAATGGGAAATTTATGCTAGAAGAAAGTGTCTCTCTCTATATAAAGCAAATAATAAAACTTAGAATAGATGAGATAGCATAAGTTTTCACTTTTCACGGCTAACACATGGATCATACAGAGACAGGATGATGGGGATCGTGTAGGAATTGGATAGATTAATTATGATAGTTATTTAGATACTTTTAATATTTATCGTTTAAGTAATTTCTTTTAACTTTTAAGGATTTAGTTGTCATTATGACTATTTATTTCTTTTAGAGTTCTTTTAGGATTTGTGATCTCCCTATATATATAGGGAATATGGTATTTGTTTTGGGAGACTTTGATTATTGATTATTGATATTTAAACTTCTTCCTAAAATTATCTCTCTATTCTCATTCCCTTCTTTTTCTTTTCTCATCCCTAATACGATCTACATCAATTTGATGTCAAAGCTATTACGATTTACATCAATTTGATATCAGAGCCCAACTTTGATTAGTACAAATCACAAAAAAAAAATCGTTGTTCATTCGTGCACTGTTCATCAGTGCACGAATTAAAAAAAAACAGAGCCAGCAAAAAAAAAAAACTGTCCTAACAGATTTAGAAAATTACAGCAAAATCTCAGTTGTTCCAGAAATTACAGAAACATTCCAAAAAGTCGTAGAACTACCACTAGAATTATCCCCAGAAGTTTCAGAATTTCTTCTTGATTATGGTATGCATACTCCCATGAAATTTGAGATTAATATTTTTATTCATTGAAAAATTAGAGAATTTGCAAAGGATCCAAAACTTATTTTCTTCTATTTAAGTTTTCTCACTTCTCGTAATTATCAATTACATCATTGAACTCATTCTTATGTTATTCTCATCTTTCAAAATAAATCATGAGTTCATATGATCATTATGATGCCTATTCATATACTTATCCAACATCAAGAATGTCTCAAGTTCATAGTTCTCCACAACGTCATCACTTTACCTATTCCACTCCTAGAGCTTCCTGGAGCCATCATAAAGTTCATAATAAGTTTGAGTTTTATTATGAAAATTATCTAGAATACTACCCTGGGACACTTAGGTCACATAACAGTTACCAACGTTATACTTCTCAAAGTCGTCATCAAGGTCAATCTAGATCAATCTTCAATGTTATTAGTGATCATTCAAAAGCTCAAACTGTCCTAGGAAAAAAGGTTGAGATCTTTGAAATTGAAGTTGTCAATATTAAACATTTACTCGGCCAATTACGTGAAGAATGTAGAAGGGTGAAAAACCAATTATATGAATTAACAAGTCAACTTTCCCACTTGAATAAAATTCTTGCAAGTCAGCAAATAGAAGAAAATAAGGACAAGTCTCTAGTTTCACCTAATGTCAGACACCCGCATAATGATAGTCATATTTCTGTTCCATTGGACCCTCATGCTTTACAACCTTCAAAACATACTTTCAATTTTTTGAACATTGATACTAGTGATGAGATTATTTTTGATCCTATCATGTTTCCTACCTCATCGGTGCCAAAAGTTGAAAACATCACTAAGCATTGAAGTTGAGGAAAAATCCATTCAGTTGGTTCCTATGCAAGATGTTGAGCATATTAAGCTATCTATTTTTCTGTTGGCAATTATTCTATGTCTACTATTCTGAATCATGATAGCATTGTTGTGGATTCTTCTTCAATTGAGATTGTTGATTTTGTTTCGGATGTTTCTCCACCTGAGATTGTTGACATTGTTCTAGATTCTACTCAACTTGAGAGCGTTAACTTTGTTTCTTTTCAATTGAGTCTGTACTTTCTTATTTTCAGCACCAACATGTTATAGTTACTCCTTTGTCATTGATGTCTTATCCCACTGAATGTCTTTTGTTCAAATCTAATGGGAATTGTTTTGTTATTCTTGAGTTTGGATCTAATGTTTATTTGCTTAATTTTTCATTGAATGTTAGTATTAGTCCAGATTTTTATTTGGAGGACATGCTACTTAATCCAGGTACTCCAGAGCCTCCTATTTTGTTATCAGGTGTTTCTACAAGTGGAATTACTTATTCCTCAGCATTATCTCCAGCTCTTATCTTTCCACTTCCATCGTGTATTTCAGGGTAAATAGATGATGTGTTACGTGATCAGATTTACATTGCTACAGATGGAGATTCTTGCATTTATTCTGATCGATGAAAAGATATTAATAGTTCTTTTATTCTAGATACGACATTATGTCATCTTCATCTTGCTCACTTAGGGTACTTCTATTTTGAAGACTCTCTCCGAATGAAAGTTTTTTTCAACCGGAGGAGAATGATGGGGATCGTGTAGAAATTGGATAGATTAATTATGATAGTTATTTAGATACTTTTAATATTTATCATTTAAGTAATTTCTTTTAACTTTTAAGGGTTTAGTTGTCATTAAGACTATTTATTTCTTTTAGAGTTCTTTTAGAATTTGTGCTCTCTCTATATATATAGGGAATATGGTATTTGTTTTGGGAGACTTTGATTATTGATTATTGATTATTGATATTGAATCTTCTTCCTAAAATTCTCTCTCTATTCTCATCCCCTTCTTCTTCTTCTTTTCTCATCCCCTTCTTCTTCTCTAATACGATCTACATCACAGGACTATATAAAAATCAAGGGAAGAATAACATACCCCCAGTACAAGAAAAGTGAAAGCTTGATTATCCGCACCAAGATGAATTTCGATTAGCTTCCGCAAATCAGCAAGGGTAGAATCCTTTACAACCTTTAGCGTGGTGACAAACTTCCCAGGATTTTCTTTTGACGCCTCCCATTTCACATATACTTCCAGATCATCAGTGTTCTCACTTAACCGGTTGCAGTTCTCCTTCGTATCCAGTGTTTTCTCATCAAAACCCCTGATGTTGTTCAGTGAGTTTTCTATAAACCTCTCCTTGTTTTCAGGTTTACTTGATGCCAACAAATCCCTAGAGATGCTTTTCGAAAGTTGTGAGTGTTTATTAGAAGAGTTTTTAGGAGCAGAATCCTCTCCAATTGTTCTCATTGGAGGTGATGGAGTATGAGAATTTTCAAACCTCTTTTTGGTGGGAAATGGGGTTCCATTATGCTGAGAAAGCTCTCTATAATTCCCACAGAGGGTGAATATATTTTGAATTCTTATCCGCCTAGAAGAGGCTGCATCCTTGGCATTTTCAGGCTCACTCAGCAATCCAAGTCGCACATGCTTCTCATCATCTCTAAAAGAGTCAACTTTCTCCAGATTCTGGCTTGACAAATTGGGTGTAACTACAAAACTCAGGGGTGTTGATGCCAAAGAACCCGTGTTCAAGTTAAATCCGGGGCTAGAACTGTCAACCAGCCTGCTAGAACAAACTTTCTTTTCTTCTATTACCTCCTTCTGCACTTCTTCATCCACCAGGTCCTGTTTATCATCTGTCTCCTCTTCTTCTTCAAATACAGTGCTCAAGTATGCTTTGCTGGTTAAATTTGGCACAAATGCATCATGATTGTCTTCATCTGAATGGCTTATGCAAGGATTACCCAAAACGGCCTGCATAATATTGTTATCTGACTTGTGAACCACGCCATCTCGTTTCCCCATATCCATGTCCATTGATTTATCCAAATCCATTGATTTCTCCATTCCCGGATCTTCGTCTGCGTAAATCCTCAACAACTTGCTTGCGAAGCTACATCCATCTAGATCTGCTGCATCCCTTGAACGGCCAAGCTCAGACTCAATTTCCTCCAAGCGACGCCTCAGCATTTCAACTTCCTGTTGCTGCTGCAATATTTTTTCTTCCATTTTTCTCCTTTCAATTTCAACAAATTCACTTGCCATTTTCTCGCATTCCTGAATTTTCCTCTCCAGCTCGCATTTCAGAGCCAGGGTCCGCTCATTTACTTTCATATTGATTTCTTCTTCACTCCCAGATCCCTTCGCTTCCACAAAAGCTAGTTTAGACCTTAGCGCTGAGATTTCTTCTTCTTTCTTCATAAGCTCTTTGTGAGCTTCATTGCGCTCTTTCTCTCTGAGTTTGCTCTCCATCTGTAGTTTGTGGATAAACTGGTCCATAGCTGCAATTCTTGAGCCTAAAATAACTGCTGATGTAGAATCTTCAGTTCCTTTCTCGTTGAGGGCTGTGTGAGGACCACGGACAATACATTTTGCTTTAGCACCATATTCTAGAGTCGAGATGGTCTTATGCATCTCCTTGGGGTCCGGGCTTGCACACAATATCATTAGAATCTTAGTTCTATCATCTTCGAAAGAGTCCTAAACAAACCGAAATCAAGAGTATCAGTGATCAACACAAACAATAGAAGAAACAAAAAGGGAAGGGATGCACACTACAATAGTAGACATGAATGAAAGTCTAAGGCATACCTGCAGAAGCATTGTTAACTTGCTGTCTCTGAATGGCACATGAGAATCACCATTAGCAATAGACTCAACCACTCTTTTCAGTGCTATGTTTCCTTGGTTAATCTTTGCAGTCTGTACTTTCAAGGAAAACATAAACTGATAAATTTACTGTTTTAAAAAAGAATTAGCATCAGAAACCAACATATGACCTTCACACTTCAATGGAAAAGAAAAGGTTAGAGAAAAAGAATTTACAGGGAGATAGAAAAGCACAAGTCATTAAATTTCTACCTGCATTTTTGCTTCCAAACCATTTTGTCCAGCTTGTTCTATATTTTCTGAACCTGCCATGTCAACAAGCATAAGCCGGCCTCCCACTGTTGGTACATCAAGAATTATCTGACAAAGGTATAGAAAAAGGTTAGAATTCCTTATGAAAAAAATTTCAGATGAGGGTTTTTATCCTCTGGGAAGTGTCAAAAGATTCAAACCATGCAGTGGCTTCGTGAGCTCCTCTCATTGCATAGGGTACTTTTAACTATCCTTCGTTTTTCAACTTTTTGAATTTCCTTTGATATCTTCCCTGCTTCATTTCCAGAGATAAATGTTGCATTTTTCGCCTTCTTTCCCATCACTTCCAGTCTCACCTGCAAACACATAATAAAAATGTCAAATTACCCAGTGAAAATTAAATGCCTAGGTAAAATTAATGTCATATAATTGTCTGATAGCATTAACAGTATCATTATTCAAGCATTCCCTCAACTGTGGGGTCATGCAAAATATATGTCATGAGAATAAGGCCCAAGTTACAATCAAGTTTATATAATGCATCAAAACTCAACATATATGGACATGAAAATAGCCTCACGTAAAGAAAAGACCATCCGGCCATTCAATATGAAGGAAATTAGAATGGCAAAAAATTACCATGGGATATATATACTTCTTATTTTTGTTCTTAATTTTACAAATGAATAAACTGTAGTGTTCTCGATACGAAACTACTTGTATGACCATATATGGTTTTCTTGTATGCAAGCTGGACCATGTAGCAACAGGCTCAATGTAGCACCTGCAGGACATATACATCAGTAGAAGAATAAGGTGTGGGGTATAAAATGTAGTCTTTTTTCTCCTCCCTATAATTTTTTACGAAAGGTTTAAAAAAATTAGCTGTCCATAAAATTTTATTTCACCCTTCTAGTACAATGCCAAGAAAAAACAGAATAATATTTCAACACATTTTATTTTCCCATTTGAAATTTTTTTTATAATTTGTTCAAAAGACAAAATAACATTTTCCAAAATCTTAACTTTGGACTAAATCCTGAAAATCAAAAGTACATGATAAGAGCCAAAAATACTAATCTAAGGGAAGAGGTTCTTCATAGAACCCAAATGTCTACTTGTGCAAAACCGAATTCATATCGAAGCCATACATAAGAATTTCCATAAAACAGAAGCACCTATATGTGTGTGTATCTCTCTACAATAAACTACATGATATATGTATATATTGCTTGCTATAATCATTACAAACTAGCAATCTAACAAAATAAATTCGATTAACAATTATTCAAATATAACTCATCAAAAAAAAAAAAAAGGATTCTGACCTTGGAAGCACTTCCCTTGGACCACCCAAGACTAAACCCTCCACCAGTGTTAGTCGAAAGCAGATCATAAATCTCCTCATTGTATATCTCCAAAACAGTGACTTGAACAAATGTCCCGACACCAACCCTCTGATCATTACCACCATTCTCTTCATCCTCTTCTCCCAATATATCTCTGAGAGACTTATACACAATCCCTGGCTGCGTCGCGCATCCAAACATCGTGTGACTCTTCCCTGAACCCGTAGGTCCATACATCATGATTGTACATTTAGCCCCCAGTTTCACTCCATTGATCCTTTCCTCAACAAATTTTTTATAAAATCCATCAAGATCCTCTTCTTCTGACAAAGATACACCATCAAGACTAAAATCTCTGAACCCAATATCGGTCTTAACTCTAAGGGATTGGCGGTCTTGGTTGATTTGCAATGCAGAGATGGGCTTGTTTTTCTGATCTGGGTAGTCTCGGATTCGGCCAATTACTTCAACTGGATGCTCTGCTGGTGGGATATCTTTAACTGCGTTCGGGGTAGGAAAGGGTTTGGTTACATTAAAGTTTAGGCGTTGCTTCGATTGGGGTGTCTTTAATTGAGTTGTGTGGGTTTTTGATGAAGGTGTTAGAGACATTTGTTTGGATTTAGCAGAAGGTATGGGTGCCATTGTAAGAAAACCCAGAAATTTTTCTGCTGAATTTCTTGTTAACCAAACAGAAAATTCAAAGTAGAGACTCTGGCTTGGGTTGAAAGGAAAAATGGTTTGTGGGTTTCTAGAATATTTTCAGGAAAATTCGAGTTTGGAATTCAATTTCTGTTGTGGGTTTCATAAAGAGAGAGAATATGAGGTCTTTGTTGAATAGCAGAACGAGAGCGATGATTTGGGAATGGAGAAATTCTTGTTAACCAAACAGAGAGAGTTGACAAATGAAAAGGGTTTTTGATTTTTGAAGTAGAATTAAAAATGTGCACTAGCCGTTACGTATTCTAACGTCTATTTCTCCTGTCAAGACGCTACTCGGCTACTCCGCGCCGATCTGTCCTTCCTTCCTCGTGTAGGGAAGGCTAAGAGCAACTCCAAAAATGAGGTGCTTAATGTTATTTTGTAATTTTAAACAGTATTTTTGACATTTTTGAACAGTGTTTTTCTTCAATGGTAGGTGTTAAAAGTGGGTGTTATTTTAATATTTTTTATTAAAAAATATAATTAAATTTAACGGTTATATATTAACGGGTATAATTTTCGTAACGATCGGAATTTAATGGATATATTTTTATAGTAAAAATTTTAAATTTTGGCGGACAAAATTTCAAGTTTCAATTTCAAATTTCAACCGTTGAAATTTAAATTTAAAAATTTAACCGTCAAAATAAAAATTAAAAAAAATATAATTCGTCTATAAATATGATCATTTTTCTCATATTTTCATCCATCTATCTTACATTCTCTCTATAAATTCAATATCTCATTTCTCTTTGACTATTTATTCTTTCATATTTTCATTCATCAAACTACATGAATCGTTATCCTAATATTTTAGAAAAGATCCTCAATATTGAAGAAGAAGATAATTATGACTTGGATATGTTGTATACTGCAACTAGAAGGTCAGAAGGGTCTAGTCATGGACGGATAAGAAGGCATCGTGGTTCCGTTCCAGGCCACAAAATAGTTAATCGTGGTAGAGTTGAAGGTCACGAAAAATTTTATCGTGACTATTTTGTTACCCTTTGTGTGTATAAAGGTTTTTTTCGAAGGAGGTTCCGAATGAGTCGTCCTCTTTTTCTCCGAATTGTAAATGAGATTGAACAACACGATTCATACTTCATCCAAACAACAGATGCCGTTGGAGTTCTCAGTTTGTCATCACTTCAAAAGCTAACAGCTGCTTATAAAATTCTTGCTTACGGAATACCAACAGATTTTGTGGATAAATATATCAGAATTGGGGAAACACTGTCATACAGAGTCCGAGAAGGTTTATAAAAGCTGATATTGTAGTATTTGACGACCATTACCTGAGGTCACCAAACAATATCGATATTGCTCGATTGCTACAAACGGGGGAACAACATGGTTTCCCCGACATGTTATGGAGTATTGATTGCATGCATTGAAAGTGAAAAAATTGTCCTACCGCGTGGCAAGGTATGTATACTGGTCATTGTCATGAACCAACAATCATTTTAGAAGTTGTGGCTTCTCAAGATCTTTGAATATGACATGCATTCTTTGGGCTTCCTGATTCGCTAAATGACATAAATGTTCTAGATAGATCCCTTGTTTTTGCATTATTAGCAAATGGTCATGCTCCTCCAATCAACTATATAATTAATGGTCGTGAGTATATAATGAGATATTATCTAGCTGATGGTATTTATCCAAACTGGTCGACATTTGTAAAAATAATTCCTTGTCCACAAGGTTTGAAGAAAAAATATTTTGCTAAAGCACAAGAGTCGACAAGAAAAGATATAAAACGGACATTTTGGGTACTTCAAACCTATTTTGCAATCATGCGTGGACCAACACGCTTTTGAGATGAAGAAACACTTGCGGGTATTATGAAAGCATGCATAATAATGCATAATATAGTCATTGAGGATGAAATGAGATATTGGTAACAATGACTTTGATGGAAGTGATGCAAATCCGCTTGTAGAAGTGTCGTATGCATATACACCAAAATTGGAAGATTTCATGCAAACCTATTGTCAGATCAGGGACAATGTTACTCATTTTCAACTGCAGTCAGATCTTATCGAGCATTTGTGAGAACAACATGGTGACTTATAATTTTCTCAATTGCAATGACCATATTATATTATATTTTCAATTCCAATTCCAATTTCAAGTTGTACTTTCAATTCCAATTTTAATTTCAAGTTGTATTTTCAATGCACAGTTTTTCATAAATAATAGCAATATAATAAATAATGACTAAAAATTATAAAATATGAAATTATAATAAATAATGACTACAAATTTAAAAATAATTGCAACATAAAAAATAATGACTACAAATTTAAAAATAATAGCAACATAATAAATAACGACTAAAAATTAAAACTCCGCTTTTTCATAATCTCTATCTTCAGCTTATTCCAATATGTTACAGAAATTGAATTCATTTCAGTAGTGTCAGTTTCCATGATTTTCATTTCATTCTACATTTTAGTTTGTTGCACCTGCCTTCTTCAATTTCTAACTGTCTACGATATTGCTCTAATGTTATCTCCTGTTGAGCATAAATTTTGTCGTGTCGCTCAACTTTTTGTCGTTCCACTTCCATTTTTTCATTCCAATGGTGATGATCTAGTGATGCTTCAACACCGGTTTGCTTCTCTTTGTTTTTAAGTTGTTTCTTCGAAGCCTTTCTGCCCAATGACCTATCGAGGTTGACAGTGGACGAGGGTTCAGTGTCATCCCCTAAATATGGAATTGAATAGCAAGATTCAACGTGAGTTAATTCAACAAGACTACCAGTCTCATGAGTTTTTGCTCTCTTATTGCTAGTAAGATTATCAGTCCATTTCCGCTCCATTTTCAATATATTCCAACAATGCTCGTATTGAAATGGTTTTCCAATAATCTTAGCAAATATTTCTTTTGTGTCATCAACCTGAAAAATATATAAAATTATTCAGTCAATAATTCAAATATCAAATCATAGTAGTGTCTAAATTAAAAGTTTAATCATTACATTATTTTGCTCGGTGTGTCCACTTTGTCGCAGTCTTTCAATTTGACTATAAAAACTGACAAATTTGTCTCATTTTACATTTATATCAGTCCAACGACTTTTAATAGAAGATTGCGAACGCTCTTCTTGATTGGCTCCATGAAGTTCTAAGTATTGCAATATTCTTTGCCAGAAAGCACCACCTTGTTGTCCATTCCCAGTAATTGTATTTTTACTCATGTTAAACCACGCAGACACAATTAATTTATCTTCTTCTACAGAGAAGTTCTTTGTCCTTTGCGATTTTCTCACTCTTGGGACGACTTAATTTTGTACATGCGTCAATACTGTGGGATTGATCTGCATAGCATCATATAAATCAGTGTCGTTTATAAGCAAATCAGTGAAAGAACCGTCAAATTGCGAATCCATCTACAAAATATATATAATCAATTTAAAGAATGAGCATAAAATAATAAATTAAAAATTAAAAATTAAAACAAGAACATGGGGACAAATGTAATTATAAATTATAAATTAAAACTAGAACTTATAAATTAAAACAAGAACATGGGGGCAAATGTAATTATAAATTATAAATTAAAATAGAACTTATAAATTAAAACAAGAACATGGGGGCAAATGTAATTATAAATTATATATTAAAACTAGAATTTATAAATTAAAACAAGAATAAGGGGGTAGATGTAATTTCTCCTAAATAAAACAATTTCTGCCCCCTTCTCCTTCGGTTGTCTTCTTCCCCTTCACCTTATCAGACCACCAGATCCCTTCCCCTTCCCCTTCCCCTTCCCCTTCCCCCCTTCCCCTTACCAGACTAGACAACGGCAACGGGCTATGAGAACACACCAACGGCAAGGGTCAGGGAAACTAAGATTTTTGATATCAAAGACAAGGATTCAGGGAGCTATTTTCTGAAAGCAATCAATTTCAGGCAAGTTTCCTTCCCCTTTCATCTCTCTGTATTGTTATACAAATTTTGGGTGGAATATAGCCGTTGAGGAACAATAGCCACCAACGGCTATTTTGCTACCTCTCTATTCTCTCTCCAAAGTTGCCAAATATGTCACCCCAAAATCCTAGATGTCATTTTGCCACCTCTTATGCTACCTTCGTTGGAGTCCCAATTTTTGCAGTTAGAGTGCCATTTTAGCGGTTCTGGGGATGACACCCCTGATGACAACTCTCGTTGGAGTTACTCTAAGGCGCCTGGGCAAATTGTCCAAAATTATAATTTTTTAAGATTAAAAATATAATTTTTTTAAATTTAAGTCAAATTTTTTTTTATAAAATATAATAGATGTTAATTTCTATTATTAAAATCGATTATTAATTTCTCTCAAGCAATTGTAACTTCTTCTTTAAAGTTTAAAGGCTATAACTTGACATTAAAAAATGGTACAAAAAAAAAAATATCAGTATCACATAATTACCTATGTATTAATCAAAACTAAATTGGGTTTTGATTATTAATTTAAATAAAATTATTTATTTAGATGGTACCGCCCAACCAAGGAAATTATATTTATTTAGACATTTTTAAATATTAATAATTTAAATAACATTTAATCATGCATCACTAAATTTATTAGATTTAAACTACTAATTGGGGTGGGTACAATGAATTTAAATGTGGATGAATGAATTCAACCCAAATTGAAGAGGGCAGCTATACGAAATGCCCTATAACAGGCATTAAAAGGGGGATTTATTTATGTACAAGTGAGTCCCTCACTCATTAATAATTGGTCATTTCTCATTAATAATAGATGATGTGCCAAGACAAGAATTGAAAAAAAAAAGTGTATTAGAGGAGATCTGAATTTAAGAAATACATTATAGAAAATTATTTTGGATATGAATTTCTATTAAAAATCCTAAAGTGACAAAATACATTTTACGAATGTCTAAATATTGTTACAATAATCTTTGGTCCAGAGCTATTATTATAAGACCCTAATTACACGTAATACACTTTTTTCTTAATTTTTTTCAATGATATATCACTTATTATGAATTCAATTAAAAATTGTTGTATATAAATGAGTCTTTTATCAACACACAATAAATGATTTTTCATTGAAAAGTCTTCCTTCATTGTACGAGACTTCCCCCAATTTATAGCAAGTTAAATGAGACCTAGTGCTTACATTTCTAAATTAAAGTTTTTCGGTAAGCAACAATGGTGGGTTCTTAAACCTTTTGGTATATTTTAGTACATGTAAATTAATTGCAGAACAACGAAAATAGATAGAAATAAAAATGTAAGGTCTTTTTTATTCTTTATGTTATAGAGTTCAAACAATTTGATTGCTAGGGCACGTTGAATTCTATAAATTTGAATAAGAAAGAAAAATAAAAGTATCAATATAAATGATTCTTTCTAATGAATATTATATGGAATAAAAAAACCATTTTCTTTCTGAAAAAAAAAACATATATCCTCTTCTTTTTCCTTTTTCTAGTAATATTTTATGCAATTTTCACATATCTTTCACTTATCTACATTTGTATGAAAATAATATTATCTAGAGAATATAAAGAATAATTCGTTCTGAATAACAGATATCTTTCACATTCAACTATAAAATAATGAATAACCTCTTCATTTTTAAATAATATTTCTAAAAACAGTCAATCGAATTTTATAACTCCCAAGAGAGGGCATGTTTGACTAAATAAGCATAATTCACAAGTAATTGCGTACAAATTGAGTTTCCGTTAGACTCAAGAATTGAAATATGTATGGTTGAAACAGTTACCCCCGAAGGGCATAAAAAAAAAAAAAAGAAGAAAAAAGAATGGACAGACATGGGCGAGAGAAAGAAACATGACATTCCTTCAGCTGGATAGCTAGTTTACTGAGACTTTCAAAGGCCCTACACATGAATCATTACAGTTGATAGACCTATGAATACACTGTCATACAATATTTCTACTTTTAAAGCAGTTGTCCATGTTGAATCTCTCTATACAATTTGATATACATAATAAAAAAAAAAAAAAAAAAAAGGAGAGGGAAAGAGAGGAAGTTGCTATTACAGACAGAAGTTCGAATTTCAAACAATGGTTCGAAAACTGCCCATCTTCAAAACTTAAGAGATCACAAAAACACGAAGCTCTCCCCGGTCTCCCCTTGTTACGCGGGTATCAGAGTCGAGGTAGGTAACTTCAAATTCACCTGAACCTGTATTAGATGCTGGCCTTAGTGCATCTGGTATCCGAGGTACATCCAATGGTGGAAGTTGTGATAAATTTCCTGTCGTCTTTACAGTTGTTTTCTCAAATACTATCTTAATTTTGGAAGATCCTATTCATGTAAAAACAGGAACATTTGTTAGGAAGATCATTGTTATGCTTTGAAACAACACCTGCAGAATATTTTTTTCCGGTAAATGATTAGGAAATGAAAATGGAAAGCACCAACCTAGGACTTCAAATTTGTGGGCTAAGGTGGCTGTCACCTCAACAGGTGGAAGAGGCCACGGAGTGCCTAATTGAAGCTCTGCTATATTATCAAAATCTTTGCTTAAGATGTCAATCCGTTGAAACACCTGATCAAAACAAACCATGGAATCAGTGGTAGATTTAGAATTTTCGAAGTAGGGGGCCACCTAAAAGCGAGAAAATATAGAATGTAGAATTATCCTGGGTCATATTAAAAATTTACAAAAATAAAAGACGTCAGCCTAACAATTTTCAATGAATAACACAAAATCTAACGGACTAATAGATAATGTTAGAAACTTCGTATGGCCATGGTCCTCCTTGCATGTAAGACGGCTCCGCAACTGCATGTAATAAGATGATAGAAAAATATAAGCAACAGCAGGCTATATTTTGTATTCACTTTCTGCGCATCCAATGAATTTGATTATATTGGATCATTTGAAATTTGAGCGCTAAACAAATAAAAGCACAAAAAGCCAAAGCCTTTTTCAAGCACACCTGGCCAAGAATAATGGGAAGAAGTCTTCCAGTTGGGGGGCCAGAACGGCTTCCACCTAGAGTGCGAGATGAGAATGCACTGCTATATATCAGTTTCCACCTTCCTTGCAGTTTATCAAGTTCAACTGAGAGATCTACAGGTCCTCCCACACCTTCAAGCTCCTTGGCAGCCGAATCTGCCTTCTGTAAATCATCTTCACTAGCAGCAAGACCTCTGTTTAGCCCAGAAACAGCACTCTGTAGATTGACCATCCCATAAGTGTCAGCAACATGACTTATTGTTATAATGATTCCATACAAACTTTGCACTAGCATCTAAAAATTTATAAACAAGTGATGAAATTGAAAACAACAGCTTCAAAGATTGATTTGTTGTGAAAAGAGCTGATACTTCTGAGTATACACATCGGGTGAGGAAAAACCCAACTGATGCCTGCATCTTGGCAAATTTTCATGCATTGTAAGAAGAGGTATTAGTTCCTACCTCTTTGATTTCAAAGTCAACATTTGTCCACTTACAAAATATACAGGTATAAAATCAAACGATGATAAGTTTCCTTGTCAATACAACAAAACATCATCCAACAATGACGAGCATCCAACAATGAACGAGCTATAAGGAACCACTACTCATAACTTGAATGAACATATAATTTGTTAAAGAAAAGGTGCAGCGAAAAACAAACTCTTTTTCAAAATGAAGCAAAAGAAGTCGATAACGGAAACCAAAGGGATATGATTGCACATGAATCTGAAAGATAGGTACTTAGCTTAGATTTCATCAATCTTTTTGCTTTGGTCACCAAAAAGACAGGTTACCAAAAAGAAAGCCAAAATCCCAGCCAAAAAATGATAAAATAAAAAAGCAGACAATTTTTGTTTGACCATCCAACAAAATCCAAATTGTCTAAAGCTACTGCCTGTACTCGTTGTTTTATAATCTTTTGATTTCCATAATTGGGCCCAGAATGTGCTCCATATTAAAATATCATATCTACATATTTTCTTTGTTGTTATGGCTCTACATGATGTCACTTCTACCTCTTCCTTATATCCCTATCACATCCTTGACTATCACCATCGCCAGTCTCCTCTAGACATTGAAACCTTACTGATGGGACTCTTCTGAAAAAGCCTATGATGAAGACACGTGTCCTCGGGGGGGTTTCTAGAACAATGTTGCTCGGGTTCAAGCACCATCGGCAAAGCTTCCTCTCCCCGAGATACCTCTCATATAGGATCACATATTCGGTACAGTATACAAAGACATGTGTCCTCGGTCACCATGTACCTCGGGAACACACCGCCCCTTGTCCCCCGAGGTGATCCTTTCCTCGGCACCGAGGGTCACTCCCTACTCCCGGAAAAAGCTACTGACAAAACTGAACATCAGCCTATGCCAGTATGGACTAGTCATCATGAGCTCTTCTTACACAAGTAATGTCAGAACGTGCTGGAATACCGACGTAACAGCCAATAAGGGATGGACGTGTGGCGAATAATGTCACATCCGAAACAGACAAACCGCATGCCGCTGCTGGCACGCGACTTGGGAAAGCAAACAATTAATTACACCCTTCTGTTGACGAGACCGCATTTAATGCGGTAAGGTTCGGATATGAAAGGCAATAAATGCTCCTATTACAGAGCATTTATTGCATCCTTCCCGAAAGGAGCATATTGTACCGTCGGCGTCCCGACAACTCACCATTAATTGCTCGGGACCCCGAGCAGTCAATTAGAGAAGACATTCCTCATCAAATGATTACACACGCTACCTGTGCCTGATGATCACCTACTGACCACACTGACAGCAATCATGATCTTCTAAGGTATAAATACCCCTCCCAAAAGACAAAGCGGGTATGCAATCACAAACTCTCTACTACAAAATATCCTTCTGAGTGTTTTCTCCTTCCTCTCTCTCATTCAAAGACTGACTAGACCGTCGGAGGGGATACGCCGGAAAACACTCCGGCGCCCTTCTAACTTGTTCTCTTTTGTCCCAGGAAATACCTTTCGCACGTACAGGATCGTTCCTCCTTTCCCAGGATCGTAAGCTGTTTCGAGCAGTGTGCTTGGCCACTCAATCGGCTCACCCAAAGTTCACCAGGGGAGAGATCTGTTCCCAATATTTTATATATATCGTGCAGGATCAAGCCCGCACAATCTGGCGCCGTCTGTGGGAAACGAGTAGTTTTCCTAATCTTTTCTCTATAAAAGAACAGTGACCATGGTGAACACCAGACAGAAAGGGAAGGGACCCCATCAACGGAGTCATGAGTTGCAAGCTCCCTGCCATCACGGAGGGAGGGATCGCACCAGTACGATTAAAAGTGCCTCTACTCGGTCAAGGGGGGTAACCCCTCAAACCAGTATGGGTATCAGGTCAGGAGGATCAGCCCCCTTGGCCCGTCAGCTGGCAGAGGTGATTGAAGAGAAATTTGGCGATAGATTACGTCAGCTGGAGAAGGACAATGTGAACGTCCTTAGCCGGCTCGACGAGTTTGCTGCCTCAGGCGGAGGGTCGAGGGATTCATTCCTCTCCCGAGGACTCCCCGTCCATGAGGCGGAGACAAAGGATCTAAGGAACCACCTGGATCACAAAGCAGAAAGCTCCAGGGCCCCGAAGCGACCCAGGGCCGGCGAATGCCATCTTGACAACCATTCCAGGAAAGCAAGGCCATTGGCCCTGGACGACCTCCGGCGAGGTTTATCCAGACGGAGGAAGGGAGATGAATCCGAGGAGGACTCAACCCAATCTACACGACGCCCAGGAAACGAGGGGCTTACCGACGAACCCAGAGACTTCAGGAGGCATCCCGCAAGGGAAGTAGATCTCAGAGCCCGATTAGACTCCAGGAGAAAGGGCAAGACGATCCAGGACGAGGCCGAGGACGAAGTCATGCAAACACCCTTCACGAGGGAAATCAGCGAGATGGACGTCTCAAGAAAGTTCGTCGTGCCACGGTTCAAGACCTATGATGGGCGATCTGATCCCGATGCCCATATCAGACAGTATAAGCAGATGATGTCCCTCTATCATTCGGACCAACGGTTTCTATGCCGGGTATTCCCTATGAGCTTGGGGGACTCCGCGATGAGGTGGTTCGAGGCGCTTCCCCCAAACAGTATTGGGTCCTGGAAAGAATTGACAAGGCAGTTCCTAACCCGATTCATCACGGGGAGTAAGCGCCCAAAGGACATTGGATCACTGCTGACCCTCAGGAGGAGGGAATCCGAGACTCTTCGCCAGTACGCCATCCGATACTGGGAAGAAGTCAATGAGGTCGAGGGATGCTCGGAGGTCATGGCAGCAGCATCATTCCGGCTCGGCTTGGCCAGGGACACGGACCTGTACCGATCCCTGACCAAAAAGACTCCCTCGGATATGGGGGAACTGATGGCCCGAATCAACAAGTACTCAAGGGTCGAGGACGAGATGGGGGGCAACAAAGGCCGAGCCCTCCAACCCAAGAGAAAGGAAAAAGAGCACGAAGATATTCCCCGGAAGGGATTGCTACCCCGTCCAGGGGGTTCGTCCAGAGGAGTTCACACCGTCTTCAAGGAACCCATCTACAGGTTGCTCCATAAAATCAAACATGAACCGTTTTTCAAATGGCCGCCCAGGATGCAAAGCGACCTCTCCACCCGTGATCAAACAGTAAGATGCTCATATCACCGGGATGTCGGGCATCGCACCGAGAGCTGCAGGGTGTTCAAGTCATTCTTGGAGAGCTTAGTCCGAGATGGATATCTGAAAGAATACATAGAGCCCAGGCCAGAAGAGAAACGAGCTCATGCCCCGACCGAGGAACCAAACAACGTCATAGACGTCATCCATGTGTGTCCACTGGAGCGCCCCACGTCCAAAGAGCTCGAATCCGACCTCAAGAGGGTAGCTTTTACCAGAAAGGTAGCCGAAGGAGGTGTGGGCCCATCAAGCAAAAGGGCCAGGATGGGTGAGCTTGGCATTATGTTCTCTGACACGGATTTGACGGGCGTGGTGATTCCTCATAACGACGCCCTTGTCTTAACCCTGAAGATAGGGAAATTCGATGTCAAGAGAATCTTGATTGATTCAGGGAGTTCCTCGGAGGTGATGTACTTCGAGACTTTGAAGCGGATGGGTTTTGGCCCCAAAGACTTGACCAAAATCAGGACACCCCTCATCGGGTTCAACGGCTCTTTCGCCTTGCCCGTGGGGAAAATTACATTACCGGTCGCCACTGGTCCCTTCGTCATCGACACAGAGTTTGTGGTGATCGACACGGACTCCCCTTACAACGTGATTATGGGTCGAACATGGCTACACGCTTTGGGAGCGGTACACTCCACTCTCCATCAAAAGTTGAAGTTCGCCACGCCAGAGGGCGTCATGGAGATCCGGGGAGATCAAGCGTCTGCGAAGAACTGTTTTTATTCGGCCGTCCGAGCCGGAGCGTCCGGCCAGGAGAAGGGGCGAGCACCGGAAGAGATCATAGAAAAATAGCAATTACAGTCCGGGCGTCCGGGGATGGATGACCCCCGGGTAGACCCAGCGGAACGGTCGGTTGAAGACCTCCGGAAGGTGCCCTTGATAGAAGGAGAAGAAGAGAAGTATTTCCTAGTTGGGACCTCGATGCCCGCAGCCGAACAGGAGGAGATGATCAGGTTCTTAAGAGGGAATACAGACGTGTTCGCCTGGAACGAAATGGAAATGACAGGGTAGACCCCGAAATAATTACTCACAGGCTGCATGTTGACCCATCTCACAAGCCAGTAAAGCAAAGGCCACGACGTATGGCCCCGCATCACACCAACGCGGTCAATGAGGAAATAGACAAACTCCTGAGAGCTGGCGCCATTCGAGAGATACAGTTCCCAGAATGGCTGTCCAATACAGTATGTGCAAAAAAGAAAGGGGGGAAATGGCGTGTTTGCGTGGATTTCACAGATCTAAACAAGGCATGTCCCAAGGACGACTACCCCCTGCCGAAGGTGGACCAGCTGGTAGATGCCACAGCCGGATATGAACGAATGGACTTCCTGGATGCTCGAGCGGGATATCATCAGATCCCTCTTTATGCCCCGGACCAAGAAAAAACGGCGTTTATCACTCCGAAGGGAGTTTATTGTTATAAAGTGATGCCATTTGGATTGAAGAACGCCGGGGCAACATACCAAAGATTGATGAATCGGATGTTCAAGAGACAGATCGGCAACACCATGGAGGTCTACATAGACGACATGCTGGTAAAAAGCAAACGGAGTGGTGATCATCTTACAGATCTGGCGGATACCTTCTCCACTCTCAGGGAGTATGGGTTGAAGCT